TGTTGTCAGTTGATTGTGGTTCACAAAGGTTGTTCACTGTGAATTTTTACCCACTGTGATTTCCAGGTTTCTCTTTAGATAAACCATCCTTTCCATTCTGTTTTGGCCTTTTTTTTCTCCAGAGGCTGATGTAATCAGAGAAACAAGGTTCAAGAGAAGTGATGGTAAGAAGGTTTAGGTTCCTTTGCGTGCCAGACCCTGGTTTCACAGCACTTGGCAAGAGCTACAGGAGGAATGTGGATTTGAGGTGTTGCACACTTGCTTTGACAGGCTGCATTTTGCTAACCCTACTTGGAGGCATGAAGGACTCTCTTCCCTTGGTGTAACTGTTGGGAGGACACCACACAACGAAGGGATCTTCGTCTGTAAATCAATCCTTGTCCCATTCTCAATGTGTGGCATTGAGGTGAGTTCAGAAGAAAGAAATTAGAGGGGGGAAGCTGCTGTTTCTCCTGGGCTACCACTGTGGCTGTGCAGAGGAGTTGTTTGTGGGATGGTTTTTTGGGTGGTTCTTGGTTCATGGCAGCAGATCCACTTAAAAAAAACATAAAAATCTGTCTTCCTATCACCTTTTTTTTTAATAAGGAAGCATTTGATAATTTAAAATTAATTATCATTAATAATTAAAATTAATTATCATTTGATAATTTCAAATGAATCAGGTAAACAATTCCTTCAGAGCTGTCCTCAAGTTTTTTTGGGTAGTATGTTGGTGGTGTGTTTAGAATATGTAGTCAAATAGTCCTCTTGAAGGGGAAAAATGGGGAGGAACTATGAGAAGAACGATGCAGATCAGCTGGTGTGAGATGAACACTCAGTGTGGGCTCAGCTCCTCGCTGGGTGCCTGGGCAGGTGCTAAATTTTTACCTAAATGAAAGCAAAACTAAAAGGTTTTTGGGGTTTAACTGTGTCAGGAGGTACTTAGAGTTGAGTGTGCTGCTTAGGAATGCTTGTGCTCCTCAACCAAGTGTGTTCATGTGGTGGTTTCACCCACAGCTCAGACCATGGGGTCCTGCACTGACTCTCCTCCCACCTGTGCTCCCCATTTCTCTCCCTTCTCCCCCAGGGCACAGGGGACAGGGAATGGGGGTTCAGTCAGTTCATCTGCTGCTCTTTCCACCATGAGATCCCTCCCGTGGGCTGAAAGAGTCCAGGAACAAAGTGTTCCAACGTGGGCTGCCCATGGAGTCAAGGACCTCTTTGGGCTCAGCTCCTGGCTCTGGCATGGGGACATCCATGGGCTGCAGATGGGTCTCCAGTCCAGTGCACCTCCTCCCCTTGCTCTGGTGTTGAGCAACTCTGGGGTCTCAATTCCAGTCACACCTGCCCTCAGGTTCAGCTTCTCTGCTCCAGCGTGGATCCTCCATGGCCTACACGTGGGTATCTGCTCTGCCATTGAACCTTCATGGGCTGCAGGGGACTCCATTTACCTCTCCTCCTCTTCTACTATCCCAGTCTGAGGTTCTCTGTCTCCCCTCCTCCTCCTTCCTCATGGCAGGGGTGTTCTCTTTGTTTTTGCCAATGATCGTTCTTTGTTCAGGTCAATGGCTTCTTCTCCAGGTTCTCTCCACCTTCTTCTTTTCAAACTGGTTCTTCTCTCATAAATACTGATTCCCAGAGGCATTTCTCTATCTCTAATTGGCTCAGCCTGGGGTGGAGGTGGATCCACCATGGAGTCAGGGGAGCTTTGGGAAGCTTCTCCCAGGGGCCATCACTTTAGCCCCTTCCCCCACTACCAAAACCACCCCCACACACACAAACCCAACACAAGAACTTGTATTGAGAAGACTTCCATTACTAAATGACTTCCAAAATGAAAATTATTAGATTTCCCAAACTAAAATCACTTTGAAAGCTTTGATTAAATCACGTTTCCAGTCTAGAAGGTCCCTTCTTCAGACTCTTTTATCCTTGTGCTTCAAAATCTTGGACACAAACATCTGATGATTTATTGCAAAAGTGTGGGGCAGTGTATTTTTTTTTTCCTCTCCTTTGTCTTCTGTTTCTAAGCTGAGGGGATTGGGAAACTTCTCCATTCATCTGTTGGCCATATGACTTCATCGCTGGCCAACCTCATGTCATGGTGGCCACAGAGTCTGTGAATTGTTGGAGAGGGGATGGGATCAGCCGTGCTTCGTATCGTCGCCTCGATAGTGACTAATGGAGGAGGGTGGGAAACCAGAGCAGCTGGTTAGAAAGATCATCCTGGTGGGGTGGGATAATGAGCTCCTGACCTTGAGTTTTATTTACCATGAGTGTTGTGGGGTTTTCCAGCACTCCTTGCAGACAAAACCCAGCAGATACTGACTGACTCTCTCAAACATCTCTACTTTTGTATGTGGAGACTTTCTTCAGTTCTCTTTGAACTTCTCAGATAGTTTGAGAGTTGACCTTGACAGTCTGTGGAGTCAACTTTCCATTGAAGCCCAGTTTGTGATGTTTAAAAGTCTCTGCTTTCTAGGTATGTGACTCAGATCTTCAAAGCAAAGCTTTGCCCACCTTCATCTGTGCCGTTCTGCAGCCCGAGGAAGGAAGTCGAGAAGGCTTTTCTTCACTCTGGAGTTGATGTGGAAATGTGGCTCTGGCAAAAAAATCTCTTGAGTTTGCAGCTGAAATGGGGAAAAAACTGAAGCTGCAGATTTCTAACTTGATTTGAGGGCAACGAAGCTGATGAAGGGCCTGGAGAACAAGTCCTACAAGGAGCAGCTGAGGGAACTGGGGGTGTTGAGCCTGGAGAAAAGGAGGCTGAGGGGAGACCTTGTGGCTCTGTGCAAGTCCCTTGGAGGAGGGTGGAGAGAGGTGGGGTGGGTCTGTTCAACCAAGGCCCAAGGGACAGGCCAAGAGGAAATGGGCTCCAGTTGTGGCCAGGGCAGTTGAGATGGGATGTGAGGAAGAATTTCTTTGCTGCAAGGGTTCTGAGGCATTGGAAGGGGTTGCCCAGGGCAGTGGTGGAGTCCCCATCCCTGGAGGGATTGAAGAGTCGTGTAGACACAGTGCTGAGGGACGTGGGTCAGACGGGGACTTGTCAGTGTTGGGTTGATGGTTGGACTCCATGATCTTGAAGGGCTTTTCCAATCCAGGCAATCCTGGGATTCTGTCCCTTCCAACCCAAACCATTCTGTGGAGAGATGGAAGGAGTAAAGGCAAATTGAGGTCTGTTGTGAGCAGGGAGGTGACAAGGCTTTGAAGGTTGTGTGCTTTGCTCTTTCCATAAGTCATCTCATACCTGTGTTTTCCCCTTTTTTTAATCTAGTAGACCATGAGTCCCCTTCAGGTTGCCCAAGGAAGCTGTGGCTGCTCCTCCCTGGAAGTGTTCTCGGCCAGGTTGGATGAGGCTTTGAGCAACCTGGTCTAGTGGAAGGTGTCCCTGCTGCTGGCAGGGGGGGTGGAACTGGGTGAGCTTTAAGGGCCCTTCCAATCCAAACCATTCTATGATTCTCAGTGGGGTTTGTTCTCTCCTGCAGATACTTCAGGCTGAACTTCTTGTTTGGCTCTTGCCTCTGCATCCCCTCCCTCCACACATGTTCTAGTGGACATAGGGCCTCCAAGATCCCGTCGCTTGTTGTTGTTTCAGGATGAGGTTTGTGATAAAATCATATTTAGCTCCACGTGCTTTTGAATTTGTGTTAATAGGAGTGAAATTCAGTGAAGATTGAAGCTTCCAAACTCTCTTGCATCTCCTGGACCTGCTTGTCTCTCTTTAATTTTACTCTGCCTGCTTTTCCAGTCCTGTGACAGGTTCTCTGCACCGTGCCAAAACACCTTAAGCATCTTAGGAAAGAGTTTCCTGCCGCTGTATCCCAGCAAAGTTTATAATTCAATCCCCAAAAATCAAAAGACAAATGTTTTATTAACTTTTTGCTTCTTTTTCAAGCTCTATTTACCCAGGTAAAGAGAGAAATTCCACCTAGGCACCTCATCTTACTGTCATCAGCTTTATTTGCATGCAACAAACTGCTTGAACTCCTACTCAACAGTTCAAGGAGTGGCTCCTTCATCTCACAGGGAAGAGTAAGGTTTAAATAACACTGATTGATAACAGGAAATGATTGAAGAGTTCTCTGTAAATCAATAATTTTCCTCCCCAGGTGGTGATAACAGACCTTTCTGTCGCTTATCAATGTTTAATTGGCTTTTTTTTTAGGTCATGGTTGTTAGAAGGTGGCTGATGGATCAGCAGATTGAAGTGTGTGGATGTGTGAACCTTTATTCCTTTTGTAGGATCTTAGAAGTAACTGAAGGAGGCCAAATTAATGGGAAGAAAAATAAATAAATAATATATATATATATATAAACCCACCGATATTTATGGCATGATCATAGAATCCCAGACTGGTTTGGATTGGAAGGGACCTTAAAGCTCACCCAGTTCCAACCCCCCTGCCAGCAGCAGGGACACCTTCCACTAGACCAGGTTGCTCAAAGCCTCATCCAACCTGGCCACAAACACTTCCAGGGAGGAGCAGCCACAGCTTCTCTGGCCAACCTGGGACACTGGCTCACCACCCTCACACCAAACAATTCCTTCCTCACATCTCAGCTCCATCTCCCCTCTGACACTTTCAAGCCATCACCCCTTGTTCTGTCACTCCCTGCCCTTGGCCAAAGTCCCTCCCCAGCCTTCCTGGAGCCCCTTCAGGTACTGGGAGGCCACTATAAGATCTCCCTGGAGCCTTCTCTTCTCCAGTGGCTGTCAGAGAGAAAATAACATCCACAAAAAACCATCCACCAAAAACCACCCACATTTATTCACCCTCTAATAGCAATTGAGGAGATGATGGGCTGAAAGAACCCAAAAAAAAACCTGTTGCTAAAATAAGTTTGTGGCTCTAAGTGTCACAGAAGTCTGTTTGGAAATCATCAGTAGAAGTTGTTACTGCTTTCTCTAGTGTGGCTTGCAGACATAAAAAAATAAAGCTACTTTTGGTTTCACCCTCTGGTTTCTTGAAAGTCTCCAACAGCTTAAAATAGTTGACTTTCTTGTGGCTTTCTAATCTTAGATGTCTTCCTCAACTCGCCTGTGTTTCCTTTCAACAGGTTGCAAAATAAAAGCGCTAAGGGCCAAGACAAATACTTACATTAAGACCCCTGTTCGTGGAGAAGAACCCATCTTTGTTGTCACTGGACGAAAAGAAGATGTAGCCATGGCCAAAAGGGAAATTCTTTCAGCTGCTGAACACTTCTCCATGATCAGAGCATCACGTAACAAGAATGGTCCTACCTTGGGAGGTTTACCATGTACCCCCAACCTTCCGGGTCAGACAACGGTCCAAGTCAGGGTGCCTTACCGCGTAGTTGGGCTAGTGGTTGGACCGAAAGGAGCTACAATCAAAAGAATTCAGCAACAAACCCATACCTACATAGTCACTCCGAGCAGAGACAAGGAACCAGTCTTTGAAGTTACGGGAATGCCCGAGAACGTTGACCGCGCGCGGGAGGAGATCGAGATGCACATAGCCATGCGCACGGGCAACTACATCGAGCTCAACGAAGAGAACGATTTCCATTACAACGGCACCGATGTCAGCTTTGAAGGAGGTGCTCTTGGATCTGCTTGGCTTGCTTCTAACCCTGTCCCTCCTAGTCGTACCAGGATGATTTCTAATTATAGAAACGACAGTTCCAGCTCTTTGGGAAGTGGCTCCACAGATTCCTATTTTGGAAGCAATAGATTGGCTGACTTCAGCCCGACGAGTCCCTTCAGCACAGGTAACTTCTGGTTTGGAGAAACGTTGCCTTCAGTGGGCACAGAAGACCTTGCAGTCGACTCTCCCACGTATGACTCTTTACCAACACCTTCTCAAACTATATGGACCCCTTTTGAACCTGTAAATCCACTTTCTGGCTTTGGTAATGATCCTATTAGTAATTCCAAACCTCAACGTCGAGGGAGTCAACCATCAACTCCTCGTCAATCACCCACCTTTCCAGAAAATCTTGATCATCCCTTGGCAAGGAGAGTGAGGAGCGACCCACCTAACACTGGCCACCAAACTGGCCTTCCTATATACATCCCTGCTTTCTCCAACGGTACCAACAGTTATTCCTCTTCCAACGGTGGTTCCACATCTAGTTCACCTCCCGAGTCGAGACGGAAACACGATTGCGTGATCTGTTTTGAGAGCGAAGTCATCGCCGCTCTGGTTCCTTGCGGTCACAATCTCTTCTGTATGGAGTGTGCCAACAACATCTGTGAGAAGGAAACGCCCTCGTGTCCTGTTTGCCAGACAGCTGTTACTCAGGCAATCCAAATTCACTCTTAAAATATATATATATATATATATAGATTATTATTATTATAGATGGATTTTTTTAAGAACAACTTCAAGGCATGGGTGTCATGGTACCCTCTAGTAAAACTTCCTCATGAATTTTGACTCTTGGGATTAGGTTGAAATTGTTAAATAGATAAATTTCTATTTTTCTCAGCAAAAAAAAAAAAAGGCTGCTATGGTAACACTAAAAACCCAGGTGGTCTCTGTCCAGTTGAGCGTGAGCAGATGGTGGCTTCAGCAAAGATGGAGCTGGTGAGATGTTGTGGCACAATGAGAAGTTTTCATCAATTACCCAACTACAAAATCAATCTAAAAATATATA